ATCAATTCAATGGAAAGCTTGATATTTTATTAACATATTTTATTTCAATGTGTCTTTCCATATAATTCTTTCACTACACATAATTATATATAATTACTTGCTTCAAAAAATCAATACATGTTATTTCAATCAAAACTTAACTGAATCGAGTTTCCTATAAGTGTACGCAGTCAGAACATAATTCACTTCGATAATGTAACGTGAGCTATAATTGAGAAATGAGATGGAAAGTAATAATAACGCACGATCAATAATTTGCTCCACTAATTCGCTTACTTTTCAAAACAGGCGTGGATTATAATACAAGCGAGAAATGGGGAAAAAATTTAATGTACTGACCATTTGACGTCGCCCATGTTTCGAAAAGCAAACTACGCGACTCCATAAATTACTGCAACACAGAGGTAGCTGAAATTAGCGAGTTTGAGTGAGTTAAACGACGAGATTACGATGTAATTACCATAAAAGTGTAAACACGAAAGGGAACTCAAACAGTTGTTTAATGCCCCGCGGAATCTAAGAAGAGAACGAAATTTCTGACGGAAGCTCAGCAATTTCATTTCGTTCCGCGAGGAAAAAAATGTGTATTTCCAAAGTTTCCGCAGGCGCGATTATTCTCCTCTCCCCTCATCCCGTTGACCTCTCGTTCCGCTCTTTATCTCTCCCCGGCTCGTTAAAAGGCAGAATTATCTTGCGCGTATCCTTGGGACGTCTCCTCGACTCGCCGTTGGACCTTCTTGAACTTTTTACGTCAGCACCGTGCTTCAAAGATATTCTAATTTAATTTCGAGAAGTTCGAATGGTTTTCAGGGAACTCTAGCTTCCAACGTGATAAAAACTGAGGTCTACATTCGTCATTGTTATCGGTGGTGTTCCACTAACTCTTCTTCAAAGCACATTCTTCGAAATTTGTCGTATTAAAATGATATGAGATGAAATTTCGTAACATCGATCTAATGCTAATGGAAGCCAAAACTATTGTTTGTTCATTTAGTTATTTTATCATTCAAGACAATGTGATCTATTGTTTAACCATTTGAGCATGGAATGATATAAACTTGAATAGATATTATATTTTCAAGGAAAGTTTTGTCATAAGTCTAGGTACTACGAATATATTATACTTTTCATGTACCAGCGATTTCCAACCATTTTAATGATACATTGACGTCAATAGCTTGTTCAAAAAAGCTAAATAGTAATTAAAATAAAACAGTATAATACTACTATTTACTAGCAGGTTATTAAAAATTGTCTCTGCGAAAAGGTATCATCATGTTGTACGGTTAAAAGTAAGAAAACTTAACAACATTTCATTCTTTACTTCAAATGTTATTGTATCTAACTACTACTACTTATACGATGTCTGAACTCTTATTTTACAATTGAGAAATATTGTTCATTCGTGAGATTTCAAAAATGACGATTTTTAGTCGGCTATACTACAATACGAATCTTGTTGAAAGTTAAAATATTTATTTACAGAATAATTATCTACATTTCACATATTTTTCTTCTAACTTCTAGATTGCACACATATGGTCACGAATGTGTCAAAGTGGAAGGAAGATCATAGTATCAAAGTTTCTGCTGTCTTTTGCTTTTTATTCTTGTGTGTGTCCACGACGGTGGTTTCACTGTATACAGCATAAGGACGTGTGTGCCCAGATCATTAATTATATTTCATTTCCTTTAAAGGGTATACACGATGTTTCTAAATTATGTATCACAACCACCAAAGGACAACATGTAAGAAAGTGATCACAAAATTCATTTTAACTTAGGAAATAAGAGTAACAATCTATTATTGTTGCATCGTGTTGTAAATTGCAGAGATAAATTAATCTCAAAGAAACCTCTAGTGTTCTTTTCTGGTACACGGTGGGTCACTGAACTCGACAAAATAGGACTTCATCTCGTGTCAAATTGCGTAACATTTCGTCAATTTGCAGCATAACAGAACACAGGCATTGCAGTTGCTACCCCAACTAATCGATATTCTTGTAATACACAAGAACGAACACACTAGATATCGCAGTCGTTTACTCTCCCATGGGAACTTGAACAGCAATTTGCAGTCAAACTAGTCATTTCCAAACCCAATAGTTCCTTCAGCCTTATATTTACCTTCACAGTAATAGAACATGATGCAACTGAAGCGGCCTATAATGTTATGAACGGAGGAAGAAGTTGGAAAAGGAATTAGGAGAGAAGGAGTGAGCGGCGTTTCATCCGGAACCTAGTGAACTCGTCAATAACACATCTTGGCAGACCAGTGTTTTAGACGTTGGGACAAGTATTGGAGGTTTACGGACTGTGTGTGTGTATATATATATATATATATATATATATATATATATAGCCGTATATGTTACGGGCAATGTGTTTAACGTGGGCATTTTGTAAAATGACCGGGCATTGTGTAGAGTGCCCGTTCGAAAAGACATTGTGCAAACTGCCAGTAACAAGTTTCGTTCAATCTATAAAATCATTATACAGAATGCCTAGAGTGTGTGTAACCCTCTATTGATGGAGTGCGGGAAGCTGCTGCCACACAACAATAACAATTTCATGTGTAGAATCATATTGCGATAGTCATGATATATAATGTAGAAACATCCTGTACAATTTCTTTATGGTTGATTAAGTTCCATCAACACAATATTCACCTGTTTTATCATTCATACCACGACACAATGCTCGTTGAAATACGAGCTCGACTCGATGGAATCACTTTTCTTTGAACATTGCGTATATAATTCCATCGTCATACCGTAAAAATCAATTTCCGTGAAACTGATTATAGATCCAGGTGAATTCGATTCTTCCATGATGGTGTTCCGCAGGAGGTGGTCTAGCCTGCGCAAATAAAACTGCGGCACGCACTGCGCAGCCTGCATCGCATGCATAATTTAATAAAGCTCGTGCTTCAGCCGACGAAATGTTTATTCGCGCGCGCGTGCACGCCGCTGAGCGTGTTACGATTCCGTTCGTGATCGACGCGATCCTGGGTTGAGGCCGCTCCGGCTCGAAGCTGAAACGCGCGCGAGATCAAATACGTCGTTGGACGATTTAATCGTTCGCCGCTGCCCACGGCCCGGGTGCTCTGTTCCGATCGATCGGTCGCTTTATCATGCATTCCTTTTTCCAGCCGACGATAAAATAAAATTACGAGGCATCGTAATCGGGACAATTGCGTGACGGTCGCGTGCCGCTCGCGTGCCCGCCGATAGCAAATCTCTGCCGTTCCTTTGACCGACACTTGCTCAATATGCGAGCTGGTAATTGACTTTTCTCGCCCCTCGGAGAGCCGTTCCGTGGGATTTCAAACGCACGCTCTCCCTTTTTATCCTTCTTTTTCTGTCATAATCATTCCTGGATGCTATCGATGTGGATTTTAACCATAGACGGCTCGTGCATGCGGGTTGCGGGACTGTAACCCCTTTGGAATAAAAGATGGAAGTTCCTGTTTTATTAGAAATTTATATACATTTATCTACAATCTTGAATAATATATTGCATAGGCTAGTAATGATAATAATTAATAAATATACTTGACGCTTGTGCTGCATTCATATACCTGTACATATAAAGTGATGAGCATAACTGTACCAATAACCACACATTGCGAGTAAATAATTTTTTATGTTTATTAATAGCAATATATACAAAATATTAATGTGATAAGTATATTTTATATATTTTATAATAACAGTGACACATTTTTAATCTTTCGAAGGTTTCCGTGTTTGCCTGTAATAAAAAATCTAAATTATTACAGATTTGCTCCCTTATTTTTGTAATACACTTGCTTGACTTTAATTATTTACTAATTATAGCAAGGATATTTATTATCCGTGGATAATTGTATTCTATTCCATATTCTTGAAGCTGACATTTAAACGACTTCAAAGTATTAAAAATTTAATTTTCTGCATAAACCGTGACTAAGATACAAACCGGATATACAAAACAGATGAAAACCGATCAATCATCATTTCGCATTCCTCAGTCTAGCCATCAAATATCTCCGAATTGTATACTCCAGTTAATTATTTTCAGATTAATTGGAAATATATACAGTGTAAATATGTATGGATCGAAAATAATATATGGGAATATAGAAAACTCCATTAAATAACTACGTTTATTAATAATAAAACAAGTACTGTATAAATATAAGCAACTAGATAATAGCTACATACGACTAAAACAACACACACTTTACTACTACGAATGACCAAAAATCATTCTCTGCCGCGCAATTATTCTTCTCATTCGCGCTCTCAACAAACTATCAGGCACACCTATTCAAAACCGAACTGGAAACCTTGGGCTTGCGACGTTGTACTGGCCACTTTTCCTGGGCCGTTAGGCTTTCCTCTGTTATTGCTCTTCGCTCATGCTCATTCTCGCACTCACACTTCCTAAAAATGTCCTGAGCTATGATAAAATCCTAGATATTACATATATAAATAGTTTTCACACTAAAACTACTGAGCAATTGATTTGATTTTTTGAAATTCCTTTATAGAAATTTCAAAAGTGCATTTATTGAGAGTTTAATTGATTTATAATACAGTTTTTGTATTGTTAAATCAGTTTCTTCAATAATTCCTCAGAGAAACATCTATTATCTTTTTAATAGTTGTAAAAAAAAGAAATCAGCAATGGATTATTTTGACCCATCTCTCAGTTTTAGTGTTAAATAAGAATTAGCATAAGACCTGGGTCTAACAAGTCCCACCGATGTCAATTCGTGTAACTTCTTCACCGGTGGTTGTGCGAGTGTTAATAACGTTTACCTGAACGCAATCATGATCCAACCTTTGCTGGTAGCTGCGCGTTTATGCATGCTTTTAGACGAACCCCGCCCTTTTCCTCCGATTAGAAGGATTTAACAGCGGCTAGAAAACAGTGTAAACTCGAGATTCCGGCGACAATAACCAAGCCCGGGAGCGTGCATTAAATTAAATCTTTCGGATTTGCTTTGGTTCCAGGCAACAGACGACTTACGTGTGGAGCAGCGTGTGCCTCGGGGCGCTGTCGATGTTAGCCAAGGAAACCGGCATTACTGTTTTGCCTCTAAACCTTCTTTACGACCTCTGTCGCTCCTGGCATTCAATCAAGAGGTAAGCGTTTAAGCGCGCGGTCGTAGAGCAGTTTGGAAACGCGACACGTACCTTTCGGTGATAAATTCCGAAATAAGAAGTAACAGTCCTCCGCCTTGAGTCGTACCTCGCGGAAATATACGCGCCGTCATTCTCGCCGTAGTTCTTCCCTTTATAAACCTCGCGGGTGTGAATTTGACGCCGAGACAAGTTGTCATTCTGCTTCTAATCTGCAGGTGTCTTTTGTTTGATAAACGTTTGAAAAATCTATGCAACGAATAGATTATATTATGATTTTTTAACATGTATTTGTGTGTCGCGTATTTGTTACACGATTTCGAATATTCTGAACCAAAGACAAATTTATTCTGAAAACTTTGATTGGGAATTATAATTCGTGGCCCTTAAGAATTGAGTGACTTTTATTTCTTAGAATTCTTTTCATTCATACGGTACGAGTGTTTCAAAATTTTATTAGGTGTAACGTATCTGTACAAAAATATTGAAAGTGTGATGTGTACAAATATTGCGTGCCGAGGCAATATTTGTTTGTATCAATTAAATTGTACAAATATAACGCCAGGTTCTGATGTAATGATACGAGACGCTGTATACATAAAAATTTAAGTGAAATATTGCATAAATTCGATTCATTAAATGTTCCTATTTTATTCAATCTACTGAAGTATTTATTTATTATATTAGTATAGTGAAAATTAATTTCCCCATCAAATAAAGCCCAAATTCTTGTTGTTTAAATAAAAATAAAAAAGTTGTAGAAGTAAAACACAGGGAGCTTCCAACATTGCGTCATGTAAATGTTTTCAAACCCCTACGACACTCATCTATGTTTCATTCCCTGAAGACCTATCTAGCTTAACATTTTCATTCTCCGACAGCGACAATTACAGAAGCCATCTAAAGCATCACTTCTTCATATTTCAGATCTATTTTCGAGGCCAGATGGAACGACGACTCCAGACATTTTTCCCGACGTGCTGCGGCTCTGTTAGTCTCGGTGAGTCTGACAGTAACTTGAATATAATTGAATTAATAAATGCAGTGCCCAGGTAACTCCATTAAAGAAATGCGGACGCGTACTATTAATATCACTATACCTAATACACATTAAATCAGGGCTGTCTAACTGGAAGCTCGCGAGCCCCATAATGACTTTCCCATCAAGGCGAATTACCCTTCTCAAATCTACTTTTACTTGTTTGTATTGACATTTAATTTGTATGCATACTTAACACGTTAATTGCCATAGTGATCAATGACAGCCAATATCTTTATTAAAAAAGAACAAGTGATGTATTATTATAGTTATAGAAGATCCGTCAATTATATTACTATAGTTGACATCGTGTAGACCTATCACGAGTTAAATAGCATTTATGCTTACATTCATTTCTATCTGAAGGTAATAGTAGCTAAGTGGCCTAGAATAATAGTGGTCTAACTCCTATGTCCGTGTTTTCAAGATAAAAAGCTTTTGTGAAATGTCCTTAGATTAATTAAGTACTACTATGTCACAGAAATGCAATGTTATTAACAATAATAATTATTATTAATTACCAATATTAGTAATTGAAATTCAATAACATTTCATACAAGCTTTTTTCTCTCAAGAACTGAGAAGTAAGAGTTACGCCACTATAATTCTAAGCCGCTCATACACATCTTCAAAAAATTGTTCTAAATTGTAATCATTAGTCTGAAACGTTTAAGTTATTGTAGGATATCATATGTAAACGAATTAAGTATGTTGAAGTTTAATAACAAGTTAGACGATAAATTTGTCTTAATGGACTTAAGACTAAATTGTCTTAAATTTAAAAACCCAATTAATTGGACAATATAAGAATTGATGCAAAGTTAAATGGGCGAAAGGAAGTACAAAGTCTTAAATCACCTAGAAACGTCCTAAACATAGGTGAATTTTAGAAATTTTTTTATTAATAACTATTAAGTGAAAACTTTCGATTTTCTCTAGGTGTATAAGTGTGCTTCTGCTTTAAATTTGTATTTCTTTAAACAAAAATATTACAAAATGGCGCAATTATTTGCTAGCTTCGGGACCTCTTTTTATAAAATATCCATTTTTGGTGGATCCGATTGGAAACAACTGAAACATCCGACGACAAAAGTTGTTGCAGATTTATAAATATAAATATATTATCTAAAATATAGTCTAGGAATTTTTCGAAATTTTTATTATTATGGAAATCGCAAGCATTTGAGCTGCAGAAACCTGTTTTTACTCAAAAAAAAATAGTTTCGAATGTTGTTATCAATGTTCCTTGGATTTTCATCTGACTTTGCTGAATCGTTTCTTAGACGTCGCTGGCCCGTATACATTGTTTTAATTTAGTCGAATGTTTGAATTTTGAAAAATCCTTTCGCTAATATATTCCATATACTTGATGCTTGAAGAAAATTGAGAAAGAAAAAATTGGATTTTTTTTTATCTATCCGTGTGTCTCACCTTAAAGATGTTTTTCATTTCATATTGATTTGCCAAAAAATAGCCGCACAGAAAAGTTTTTGAACAAAAATACTGGTCAGCAAGTTGTCCGTTGTCTCAGCGCTTCTGTGTCCGTAGCTTTTATCCGAACGGTTTGCCGGTCGTGTAAACGACCGGCGTTATGATACCGCCGTAAAACTATCGAATATATCAGGCTGAAAATGTTTTCGAACGCCGATAGAATAGTCGGTATCGATTGCCGGGACGCAATTTCAATTTTATTATCGTCCCGTCGCGTCGAGCTAGCATGCCCGAGAATTTCCTGGACACAGAGTCTCGAGTGTGAAGGCGGTCGAATCTGAACGGGAATAATTGGATAAATGGATCTGTCGACTTTTCTCTACCGTCCCATTCGTTCCTGGCTCGCAGAAGTGTAGACATTGCCGATAATACAATAACGACAAAGCCATTGAGGCGCACCGCTGCTACTACCGGTCCTCCGTGTGAGGCTTCCGAGCACGACTGAATCCTCGTTACGCTTTAAGGTTGCTTCACAAGGTTGAAAGAATTCCGATTACATCATATATTTTAGTAATTTGTAACACAGTTGTTAACCTTAACACTTTACCACATGCATTTTTTCATTGCCGTAATTGTTAATAGAACAAAGTATTAGGATCATTGTTACTTTATTTCTGTTGCATATGTATTTTATAAAATTATTTAGAATTTTTAATTTTGAAGTGATAGACTATACTTCGATGTGAAAAATTTCAACAAGAAACTGTCTAAGCAATTGGAACACGCGTACAGTAACAGCAACTGTTTTCTTAAAACACTCACTTTTGCGAACACGCGTCGCATATGTATGACTGGTATGAGAATATTAATCAAATTAACACACATATATAACATTCACGTACAACGCTTTGTTTTGTTTATTTACTATGTTTTAAACGTATAAAAATTATATGAATAATGTATCACGTGAAACAATGGCAAAAAAGGCACTCATTATTTAAATTGATAAACTGTATGAAACCGAAGGCAGAGAAAAGTGATGTAGTATATACATTGATTTTTAAAACTTCCTTTTAAATGAAAAATCAGATAAACATTACAGAATGTATTTTACTTTATTATTATAGATGTAATTTAAATCTAATGAATGCGTAAAATGTTTAAAATAGAATATCCAAGAAATCTTTATTACTGTTGCGATTCTTGTATGGCCAAGAGGATTGTTGTTATTTCGTGATAACAAATCTAATAATAAGATATGAAGAATCAAGAGCCAGTCACTGTGACGATAAAATTTTTAAAAATTAAAGAAGTGAAGTTGACCGAGTTGTCCAATGAACGACTCATATATTACTATACGAACGTTGAATTCGTGGTTTGAAATCATTTCTGTACGCTTTATGTTGATAGTATAATTCTTCAAAGTCATATTTTCGTGACACTGGCCGATAACCGCTGATGAAAAATGTCATGCATACGCGACAGTGACTGGCAAACTTTTAAACTTTACAATATATGAAGGATTTTCTGTTTTGTCTTTATCATTTCATTACTTCCTTTACTTCAACAATTCGCGTGCTACGTAACTTATATGTAAATAATGGAAATGTTTAATATTTATTTATATTTATATATATAATTTATATATATATATATATATATATATATATATATATATATATATATATATTATAAATGAAAACTTATTTTTATTTTCACTGATAAAATAAGGAATCGCTGTTGATTTTGATTGATTTTTACCTAAAAATAAACCAAATCTTATATTTTTGTTACGCTGTAAATTTGTTTCCACAACATCATTTAAAAATGTGTAAAATGCTACAAAATAATAAATTTTAGTAAAATTTAAGCGAAGTTCCCCTGATTGCTTGGTAACACGTAATAAAATTCATAACGAAGGGATTAATTCTAATTGAATAACAAAATTATTGCGCTAGTTCATATGAAATTGCAAATATAATTAATAAAATTAAATTTCCAATTGGTCTCAATTTTCATTACTTTATCCACAAACATTCACATATACATGAAGACCCACACTCCAATCACTGTCGATGCTTTCAAACTGTTTAAACAACATGTGTAAAATTCAATACAATCTCGTTACACGCTTGCAACATTTCAATTTACCTACAGATCGAGGTAGTTCAATTTTCTGCTTTTTTCTCCGCCATCAAGCATTTCACTCAATATTTACTTTCATTCAATATTTACTTCGAAACGGTCCTGCCTCATCGCATACACGAGCAACGGCATAAACCACTTGAGTCGCACATAAAGATCCGCACGGAGCAGCGAATAAAAGTTGCCAGGCCGTCAAGGAAATCCTCGGCTGTGTCTTGCCGCATTTGCAAGCGGCTTCGGATCCGCGCCATTAATTTTTAACGGCCGAAATCACTCGTTTTTACCGAGCAACTGATGTTTACAGCCTCTAATGCCTTAACTAAGTTTAACGATTATTAACCTAACACAGATACAATCGTCCCGAGCAGTTCTCCCTTTACGAGTCCTGGAAATAAACTGCGTTTCGTTGAATTGTTAGGCAGCTATGGACTACTATTCAACCCGAGAAATCGCAGTGTAATGCCAGTCGTAGCTTTTAAGACGCCACGGATGAAATACGAGCACGAAACTTCGAGGAAAAGTTAACAATGAAACTGTTCGTAGATATTGGCGCGACCGTCCGATGAATTTAGGACCTCGCCTTATTCGATCGTTCAAGCGTAATGCTGTCTGTTTTCCATAAATACCTTTGGTTTTCTGTAATTTGAAAGATTATGATATGACTGGAAAAAGAACGATTCTTTATGAACAAATAATTTGCAAATATGAAAGAAAATTTGTTCATTCGAAATTTTCTTGCCCAGAAAGTTAGGCAACAGTTAACAATAGAGAATAAAATTTGTCTATTTGGTGTTTCCCGTTTTTCAAAACTGAATTTAAATATTTATCTAGTCTGCATTGGATCTCTGTAACACACTGACAGATTCCTATTCAGCAATTTTTATACTTAATAAATTGTTAAATTCTTGAATTCTCAAATTCATAGAGTACGGAATGTGCTAAATAGGAATCTGTTAGCGCGTTATAAAAAACCAATGCAGACGTCTAGATAAATATGTAATTTTAATTTTTAAAGACACGAGATTCGAAATAGAAAAATTCGATTTTTGTTTTACTAACCTTTGTGTGCTGAATAAATAAATAAATCTGAATTGAATGTGCCAGTCAATTTGGGGAGGATTTACCCAACTTTGACAAACATTAAATTTTCAGATTGAAAAAACATGGAATAGTCGAATCGTTATCCTCACAAATGCAGTTCAAAAATATCATAGGAGTTGCAGGATTAATGGCCTGTCAACTCTCGTTCGTACAAAAAATTCCTGCAACACGATGCTAAATATTAGTACCGCGCAATCCCATGAATTAATATCAAAGTACATTATGCAAGTGATTAATTACTTTTAATTAAGTCGCTGTAACGACTGAATAACGAATCGCGGGTG